TCTCCACATAAGACAGCATCCTGAAGGCCTTGATATAATTCACTTCAGATTTTATCTTGGTTTTGCTGATAGAAATTCAAGTAATTTGATTCGATTTTAGCATACAAGTCAACCACGTATTGTTGAAAGAGCCGTCCTACTCGTAAAAGCAGATTAGCGGAATGAGGCCTAATTTGAAGCCGATATGCATAGTATTCCATTGCACTCATGAATTTCCTATGTCATTTTGTGCTACTATTACCATTATCATATTCCACATCGTCTTCACCTTCATCATTATTTACGTCATTAGGAACTTCGCAAATATTAGTTGTTTCAGATGCAAGGGGGATATCTCTATATAGAATTTGATAGGGAACCCACCCCTGCTCACTATGAGTGAACAAAAGTGGATAAACCAAGGGATCATAACATTCATTGAGCTCAGAGATGTGAATTAGCTAATTTATACATGTATGCAACACAACATCACGCTTCTGAATTATATTAGGTGGCACATCATTATCAATCCAGATTGCTGCTACTTACGGAGCTGTTGGGGCATTATGAGTCCTTTGGTCAAGTCCGGGAATGTCTGTGTGAATAAGCATAATTAGATTTACAATATCTTTTACATGTAAGTTGGAAATGTATCAAAGATTAATAACGTATGGATTCACTTTGTCAAACATTTCCTTCAGAGCTTGGATGATAGGTAGATTAAGGTTAGAATTAGGAATAATATTTGTTTGATGGTGCAGCTCATTCTGGGTGTCCCATACATACATCTGTAGATAATGAGGTTCAGAACTGGGCTTTTGCAGTAGCGAACCAATACAGTGATAGAATGAGCCTTGAACACGAAAGGTGTAGACACCAGATTTCATATTGATGAGCTCACAATCGAACCTGATACCAATGGAAATGAAGGTGAATGCTGAATTGTAAGGACAGATTTTGTTACGAAAATTTTTTGAGGTATTGTCTTGACTGGAAAGTAGATTCTGCAGAAGAGAACTTCGGGTTCTGCTAACACTATCTTTTCACTATAGCAACATATTCCGAGACTTTTCATGGGTAGCTTGAGCACATTGCAGTAACTACACATAGTGCATTTGGTAATATCGATTGGTATAGAATAGTCATATCTTCAAAAAAGCAATAGGCTAAATTGTGCATCTGGGAATTGTTTGCACTACATTGGTAGTAAGCTGCAGCATTACGATTGTTTCGATGTTCTGTATGATGCTAATGATGGGCATTAGCATCTCTTCTGCGTTGTGTTGATACTGTTCAACAGTTTCCCTGGCTCTTTTTCTATGTTGTCGAGTAGCATCAGCTTCTCTTTATTCTTGTTTTGTAGGATGATGTGTTATATGTGGCATGTCACGAAGTTATGGAAACAAAAAGTTTATGAAGGCTATGTGAGTATATGTAAGATGCAATGGTTTAAATACAATGTTCTCTTAGGTGTACTGACACGTCGTGGTAGTATTGGAAATCTATATGCGGCATTATATAAAGTTAAGAAAATGAAAAGTTTATAAAGGCTATAAGAGTATATTAATATGTAGATTCGAGTGGCGCTGAATTAGACAGCACTTTAAATAGGTAAAGTATAGAGTGCAAAGTGTTTTGTTGATAGTTTAAATGATATTGAAGCTTCAGCCTTTTATTCTTATTTTTTAGAACGATATTATATATGAAGTAAAGGAAATGAAAAGTTTATAAAGTCTATATGAGCATATGTAAGATGCAATGGTTTATATACAATATTTTTTAGGTGGCACTGACATGTTGTGGTAGCATTGAAAATCTGTGACATGATATAAAGTTAAGGAAATGAAAAGTTTATAAAGGTTATGAGAATATATTAATACATAAATTCGGATGGTACCGAATTAGACAGTACTTTGAACAGGCAAAGTATAAAGCACAAAGTGTTTTATTGATAGTTTAAATAATATTGAAGCTTCAGCCTCTTTGTTTTGGTTTTGTAGGATGATATGTTATATGCGAAGTTAAGACAATGAAAAGTTTATGAAGGCTATGTGAGCAGACACAATGGATCACATATGATATTTTAGGTGATGCCGATACATCGTGAGTAATATGGAAAAATTTGTGGCATGACACAAAAATGAAAGGCTGTGGGTACATTAATTGTAGACTTTTGGTGATACTGAATTAGACATGTATATAGAGCATAGAGCATTTTATTGATCTTGGAGCTTCAATATTTACATCTTCTTTAATATTATAATGTAGTTCTAATTAAAATTATGCAATCTTAATATAAAATTAAACAAATGTTAAAGTGATTCTTTTATGCCTTTATTATTATTAAAGTTAGTATACATCAAATTACATATAATGTAAGTTATATTCACTGATGCTTCAGGTGATATCAACATGAAAACGGACATTAAAATCTTATAAGATGATTGTTAGGTTATACAAAAAACGGACAGACAGTTAAAATCTTATATATATAGATATGTACGGCATTTCCATAAATAAGAAACTCAATGACTTTTCATTCTTATGTGATTAGAAATTAAAATATTATTGGTTTGTTTTTCAGTATATACTAATCAATTGCAAGAGAAACAGTCAGCAATATAAATCTCAGGCGCATAGCTTTTATAAAATCTATTAACTTCTGACAAATATGTTATTATAATCCTAGCTTCAATATATTTTTTACTATTAGTGAGTAAGAGGTCATTCTCTCTGAAATATAGTAAGAGCAAATCTGGAATATTCATTCAGTAGGAGTTTCATTCGATAAAATAATACTCCTATCCAGATACTTATCCCATTCAGCATCGGTACAATTGGTTCCACTTCTTTCACTTAAGCCAGCAA